AGTAGAAAAGAGATGAAAACAAAAGGATCTGAAAGTTTTCTGGGAGACACAGCATACAAAAAAAAAAAAAACTCATGTAATCACTAATAAACAAAATATGGAGAATAGAGGTAACCAACTAAGATAGTTGGTTTTATAGAAATATGAGAGAGAGAGAGAGAGAGATGCAAAATTGAATGTGACCAAAATACAACTTTTATTTTTTCAACTTGTACCATCTTTTAAAAACTTTCTATTAGGGAGAGCAGTAGTCTCTTGCCTCTGAATGGAAAATTGGGCAAATCCCTGACTTTTTTGTTCACCCTTTGATATTCTATAAGTAACAGTCACTTTGAATTTAAAAAGATAGTCTACATTTAGTAATTAGAATGTTTCCAGTCTAAAATGGTAACCAATACTTCAGTCTTCATTCTAAGGCACTTGGTCATTCTAAGGCTACTCTCCGCCTCCCTCTCATAGGGCTTGTGGAAGGTGGCTGCCTGCCTTCAGCTTTCTCCTCACCTTACTCCCCCATACTAGCTAACTGTTATTTGATCCACTGGTGTAAAAGTGGGAGGAGGCAGGACAGCTGAGGAAGAGCCCAATTCTCTGCTAAGTCTGTATCAAGCCCATGGTTAAAGTTGATTGACTATTCCTCCCTCCCTCCCTTCTTCCCTCCCTTCCTTCCTTCTTTCCTTCCTTTCCTTGCAGTACTAAGCATTGAACCCAAGGGCACTTTATCCCTGAGCTACATCCCTAGTCCTTTTTATTTTTTATGTTGCTTAGGGCCTCAATAATTTGCTGAGCTGGCCTTGAACCTATGATACTCCTGCCTCAGACTTTCAAGTCACTGGGATTATAAGGCATGTGCCACCATACCCAGCTGACTCTTCTTTCTTTTTTTTCCGGGGTGGGGGGTTCTGATAATTTAATCCAAGGATGCTTTACCATTGAGCTATATTCCCAGACCTTTCTTATTTTTTGAGACAGGATCTCACTGAATGTTGCTTAGGGCCTCGATAAATTGCTAAGGTTGGCCTTGAATTTGAGATCCTTCTGTTTCAGCCTCTCAGTTTCTGAGATTACAGGCATGTACATGCCTTGATTCTTCTTTCTTGAAGGAGGCTTTTAAAGGTTCTTTGAAGATTCCCATCATCAAAGACCTTTTACTTGAATCCCTTTGGCCTAGACAGGTGCAAGCAGTGACCTGTGACAGACTGTGGATTCTAGGATTACCATGTTCACCTCTAGCTTCTGGCAACTGGACCCTTTCATACCTCTAGACAGCACTTTTGAATAGACCCAAGGCAATCCCATGTTGTCTGCCTTCTATGTGACCCACGTTTTGTCCAGAGAAATACTTACAAATTCATTGACCCTGCTGATCTGGGTATAAAAGCAAATCCCACCTCTACTCTGTGACTAAAGCCTTTTTTTTTTTTTTTTTTTTTTTTAGTTTATAGGCAAGAGTCACTGTAGATCTCTATTTTACAAATACAGAGAACAATTTCCAAGTTCTCTGATCCCACAAACGTCCCTCTTAGGCTGGAGGAGAAGGAGGTAGCTCTATCAATTCTTCTCCCTTGGGCCGGGAGGTGGGGAGTGGGATGGGGAGCCAGAAGCACAAACAAGTTTCTACCCAAGAAAACCTCTTCACCATTTTCCCTCCCTACAGTCTCCTGATCTCATCATGAAGTAAAATTCAACAATGACTTTGTGCATAAAAACCTTTTTTGAAGTAATCATCTTTAATTGTAATTGACAATGTTCTTATTTGTTTCCCAAAACTTGATAATGGAACTGTGGGCTGGTTGATGTGGCACATGTCTGTAATCCTAGTAACTTGGAAGGCAGAGGCAGGAGAATTTCAAGTTCAAGGCCAACCTGGCATTAACAAGACACTGTCTCAAAATAAAATAAAAATGGAAGGGTATATCACAGTGGTAGAGAACTTGCCCAGCATGCATGAAGCCCTGGGTTCAATCCCTAGTACAAAAAAAAAAAAAATCCTGTCATCACGTCTCTCCATCTCCGTCTTACCTACACACTTGAGCAGAGAGCCTGGAACAAAGAAGATGCTCAGTAAATGTTTGGTGGATTGGATGAATGAAACTGCAACCAACTTTAATTGTGCAGTGGATTCTCAAAGACACTTTAAAATAACCTGTGTGGAGAGCCTATTTTATCACTTCCTGGAAGACAGACTATGGTCATTCTTACATCTATAAGATACTTTTATGGTTTCTCAGAATTTGTATGCTTTAGCATTTATCAACCAAGACAGGCTCTCATAATTAAACACAGTCCCCATTAATATAATATACAGCCCTATTAATATAGTATTGACCTACAGGTATTTGTATTTAGATTAGAGAGTAAATGTTTTGAAAGCAAGAAATTTTGCTTTGAAATTAGGTAAAAATAGAATTTATAGAAATTTATAGAAGAATATTTAGAGATAATTTCAGCCAACATTCTCATTTGACAAATGAGAAAATTAATATCCAGAAAAATGGAATAAAATAACTAACCAATCTTAGAGCTGATCTCTGGGGTCATATCCTTTCTACCACTCTGGTTGGCATATGCCATTGAACAAGAGTTGTCAAGACACACAACCTTAGAAGAGGGATGAATGCCAGCTTCAGGTGCAGTACTTCCATCTACTGAATATTTTGACTCTATCATCTCTTCTGTGTATAGGTTGAGACCTCCTTTTGTTTCACAGTGGATTCTCAGAGACAGAGCACTGGCCTCACTAAAGCTAGACTTAATATGATAACGACCATCAAACTTTCAATATATCAATTTTGTGCTGCTTGTGCTCCACTTTGGGAGACTGATGGGTGGTGCCAAGCAGAGCATTACCTTAGTAGACCTGAAGAAAAAAGGTATCATGGCAGGCTTGGACCTGTAGCATCATGGGGTAGAATTTATTATATTCTTTCCAGTCAAAAAGGATACAAGTGGGGGCGGTCAGGAGAAAACATATCATTGGGCTATTCATGTGAGTCACAGAGATCTAGACACACTTTGAAAGGTACTGACTGAAGTGAGGTTAGACCTGGATAAAACCTAAGTGGCTTCAATTTTCCTGTGACTTTCCCTGCTACTGGTCAGAAAGGACTTAGGTTCCCAGAATGCATTTTCTCATTTGGATCAGAACCCATTCAAGTATATCTAGTCCCCCTGTTTGGAGGTTTAATGTTCTTTTGGACTCTAATGTAGATTCATATCTTAGAAACAAGTGCATAATCAAACTGTTCGCCATACATTGTATTCAAACAAATGACTTAGAATGACTTGTGGAAAGGGGTAGGGAGCTCTAACCTCTGTAATTTCATTAGGGTTTCTCCAAGATTACCCAAAAATCTACGAATTAAATTAAAAGAGTGCAGTTAATATGTAACTACAAGTCAACTCTCCAGACCCCTTTCATTCTGAGGGCTACACTACACCCTTTAAGTAACAAGAGTTGCCAATGAACAAAATAGTCTTTAATTCAGAGTCTGGAAGAAGTGACTTGAAAGCTGAATATTGCCTTCTTTAAAAAATAATTATTTTTTTCCAATTTTTTAATTGGTGAATTATAATTATATATAATGGTGGGGCTTGTTGTTACATATTCATATGTGCACACACTATAACAATATAATTTGGTCAATATGGTTACCCGATATTTCCCCTTTCCCTCTCCCAAAAAAAATTACTCTTAAAAAAAAAAGTCACCACCATTTGAAATTTGGGAGAATTCACTTCTCTTTATAAAAATCTGGATTTGGGCTGGTTTCAAAAATTGGACAGTCTCAACATGGGATGGTGATAGGAAGTTAGGGACACATTATTGCGTGGCAAAAATCCCTTCGAGTTGGAACTCAAAGGAGTTGCACTCAAGACAGATCCTGAGTTTTCAGTTCACTATTCCCTCACTGATATACATGAACCACTTGCGATCTGCTTTAATCTCTACTGGTTAGATTTTGTGCGTGGAGCAAGTTTGGGGAGTAGGTGCTGGGCACTCTGTTAAATGGGCTGTCTAGGGGTTGGGGATTCAGCTCTGTGGCAGAGCGCCTGCAAGGCCCGGAGTTCAGACCTCAGCCCTGAAGAAAGAAAACAAAACAAAACAAGGAAACAGGCTGTCTGTGAGGTCTATTTCACTTTGTTCAGGCACCACCATATACTCCTGATTTCAAAATGTTGGTGCTTGTACTGTACAAAAGGTTACCTCTGAAAGGTTACCTCTGAAAGGGTTATTTATGGTCGGGTTTTGCTTTTACAGCTTTTTGGTTCTCAACATTAGGAATACTACACCTCTTGGGTAGTTGACTTTGTCTTCGGTATAGTTCAGTTTGAAAGACGGTGAACGAGATCCACCAGGGCTCTATGCAGCACTGAGTCATTCCAACATCTTGAATAATACTGCAAGATCTTCTGTTTCCTAAAGACACTCCTATCAGTTTAGTCTCCCAAGCAACTGAACCAGTACAGACTTAGTGGGCAAAAGCAGTTTTTAGTTTAGTGAGATAGAGAATAATGAGAAGACCAAGTGCCCAGGCCGGATCTCAGAGGCAGACAGTGGAAGGATCGGGTGGTGGGGCGGACCACTGTTGGCCTGGTCCACGCAAGCGCAATTAGACAGAATCGGCCTGAGCGCCAAGATTAGTAGCTTCTTTCCCACCGTAGGTCCAAGACCCAAGACCCCGGGCTGTGCCCGACACCGCGAGATTGAATTCATGCACTAAGCCTCTGGGCGAAGGTAGAAAGTAACTTCGCCTGGGTAGGACAGTAGCAGCTTCACGAGTCTGCGCAGGCGCATCCGGCTTCCTGACACTGGCCAGCGCGCAGGCGCCCTCCCACTTGGTCTTCCTGTCCTGTAAACCCAGGGGCCGCTGCCGACAGCTTCTGCTTCCGGGTCACGCCTTGACAGCGGCTTTTCAGACCCAACTCAGACCCGCGGTTCGGTGAGTGCGGTTGTCGGTGCGGGAAGGTCTGCAGCCAGGTCCCCTAGTCCGGGATACCACTCCTAGTAACGCTTCCTCCATTCCCCGCTCGAGGTCCGTGAGCCTTCGCGGCTGAGCCATAGTTCCGGGCCTTGGGGGAAGATCGGGGCGGAGGTTGGTCAGTGTTTGGGGCGCCCGGCACACAGATTGCGCGACTGTGGTTTAGTGCCTTCACCAGGAAGCCTGCGAAGATTGCTGGGATCTGTTGGGAGCCCGTGCAGAAAGTGACACCACATGTCCTTGCATTTCGCGCCTTTGTTCTTAGCTCCCTAGCCTCTGCGAGACGAAGCTGCCGCGAGCCCTCCTGCAGCAGGTGCGGTGGGGTTGGGGGCGCCTCCCTCCCCTCCCAGAGTCTCCGCGAGGGACGGAGGCCCAGGCCTCCCTAGCACCAGAGCTGTTGAGGCTGTTGAGTGTCTTCTCTGTTCCACTTTGCTTTTAGCTTTGCAATTAAATAACTAAACACACAAATCCTTTGGTGTTTTTTCCAGATCCCATAGCAAAGAAGACAGGGAGGCGAAGGGTAGGAGTCCTTTTAGCCCCATCAGAGAATAAGGCCTAGAGCTCAAACCGTGCACCGGAGAGGGTGGGTTTAGACAGAGAATGTTATCAATCTGCCCTAAAGTTTCTCTCTTATACCTGGAGCTTCGAGGCGGCAAGGGAACCTTTAATTTGATTCAACCAATACACACACACACACACACACACACACACACACTCTTTTAGTTGTAGGTGGCACAATACCTTTATTTTATTATTTATATTATTATGTGCCTCACACATGCTAGGCAAGTGCTCTATCACTGAACTACAACCCCAGCCCCTGGACCTATTCAGCTTAGAGGAGTTCATAGCATGGAGTCCAAGAGCACCCTGAAAATGAGTGCAGGGTTTTCTTTCATCAGCTCTCATGGCCCACAAATTTTAAAGAGAATAATTTCGGTCCAAACCCTCCTCTTTAGATGCTGTCTTTTGCCCTGTTCTTGAAATCTCCGACTCAAATGCACCTCTGTCCCTTTCTCCCCTCTTCTTTGCTTCAAAGAAGTATAAGATACAGACCCTTGTCTCTGAGGAGTTGTGTGTGTATGTACACATGCATACATGTATTCTGGGGATTGAACCCAGGGCCTTGCAAATGATAAACATGTGCTCTACCAACTGAGCTATACTCCCAGCTCTGTGTTTTTTAACAGCTACAAATGGCTACTGATTCACAGAAACTAGTAGAATTTGTAATGTATTGTATAAAGCGATGCTCCATCACCAAAAACAATAATTTAACTTATTATGAAATGACCAAAAAATTTCAGAATTTTCATTTAATAGTCATCATATACATTAATATGCTTAATTACTGAATTTATTAGGATCTGGAGTAATAACCTTTACCTTGATTCAACAAGTATTTATTGAGGCTTTTCCATGTGCCAGGCACTGTTGGGGAAAAAAAAAACACAAAATTATCCTCAGGAGCTTATATTTTAATAAAAATATGGATTCCTAAGCAGTTACACCAAGAGTTTATATTGCATATTACAGTTTATCTACAGTTTTTGATATGTACTTTTGCATAGAAATGCATCGCCTTATTGTATAATTTTAAATGTTCTCTAGCTGTCACTCATATATAGTCAAAACGTTTATCATAGTTGAATTTGTGTATATTGCTTTGTTTTCATCTTTCATCTTGGAATTCTGTGCCATATTGTAGTTTCAACATATATTTACCCAAGTCTATTTCTCAGTTCTCTATGATAGCAAATTTCTTAAATGTTTAATTTATTTTAAATCTCCTCGTTTTGCTAAAACTGAAAGTATGTTTTATTGGTGTGAAATTTGTTTTTTTTAATTTTATATCGATGACTCCAGAGTAGTTATATTTTTGCTTTCTTCGCTGTTTTAGAATGTTACCTCAATTATTTACTTTTTTCTCTGCTAAAGACATTTGAAAATATTTCACAAATGCTTTATCATTGTTAACAGAAGTATTTGTTCCATAGCCTTCTCCTTCTCTTCTCATAGGTAGAAAGTACTTATACCCTTTAGTCAGTCAACCAATCAATATTTATAAAACACCTACATTTTGTGAGATTCTGTGAATCCCTTACACAGCCAAAAAAAAAAAGAGAGAGAGAGAGAGAGAGAGAGAGGACAAGGTCCTTACCTTCCAGTTGTTTATAGTTTAAATTTAGATGGAGAAACAATATGTACATAACTACACCGCAAAGCAAATGTAATAAATAACATAAGATGTGCTGATAATAAATTTAAAATAACAATTAAAAATAACAATAATTCAGCCTTTAGAAAATCCCATTCCTTAACTAGTCTTGTTTGTAAACCACAGAGCTTCATGGGGGTCATAGTAAAGAACCTCTTAGGGAAATCTTGTATTACAGTAGGTCAGAGACTAGAACGGAGGTCTTAAGGGTTACAGCATTTCATATAGGTTTACTCAGTATCCTAGCACTTGTTGTAAATCTAATTCACTCTCATTACCAAAAAAATGGTCTTAATCACTTATCTCCTTGACATCTGCTTTTAGCATTGGGAAGGCCTCAGAGAACACTTAACCCTAAGGACAGGTGTACTCAGTGATATTGTATATGCCTAAAACTTCTTTGTTTCAGGCAGTTTGGAGCATGTGAACACACTCTGAGTCTTGATGAGTTCCAGTATGTGGTATATTATGCAGAGCATTCAGAGCAAATACTCTCTCTCAGAGCGCTTAATCCGAACAATCGCTGCCATCCGTTCCTTCCCACATGATAATGTAGAGGACCTCATCAGAGGGGTGAGTGTGCTGTTATTGACATGGCAGGCCTTTGGGAGGTGAAGTGGAAGTTTTCTGACAAATCAAATTTGCAGCCTTGATTTAGCACAAGATCACAAGGATTTCTTACAGTCTTAAATGTATTAACTTAATCATTAAAATGCATTTTCCCTGTGTTTTGCTTTTCTTGCCTTCTCCCTTTCACTTTTTCTGGTATTTTTCTTCATGAAATGTGTTCTAGATAACCCTAGTCTCATGTTTTCTGTCAAATCTGTCTGGATATGGTACATACAGAAGCCTTCAAGCTTGAAGTCTTCTAACATGTTTTAATGAGAGTGGTAGGAGGTGAGCAAAATAGAGGTGGTTTTCAAATCTTTGTGACCTTTTCTCCATACTTGGGCTATTATAATTACATAGAGAGGTTTCACTTGTCTCCTATCTTAATCACAGCTACTAGTTCTAGTTCTGAAGAGGACACAGCCCTTAAAATGCATGGTAATTACAGATTAAGAAAATACTTTATCTGATATCTAACTACTGCCATTCAGTAATTCTGCTAAATGACTGTTATCCTAGAAGGGCTTTAATACCCTTTTTGTATATTATTCCTGTTGCATTATATACATTATAATTTTGAGAATTTGAAGTAAAAAAATTATAGGTGATCTTTTCAGCAGGCTAGCTGTTGGAGTTTTGTTTTTCTTTTAACCCTGTTGAAGAGAAGTTACAGATTTTTTTTTTTTTTTTTTTTTTTTTTTTTTTTTGTTACTGGAAAATGCATCCAATTACTTCAGAACAATTCTAACAATGTCAGGATCCTCCTTTATAGCCCAGGGCTCTGTAGCTGCTTCCGAGTTATATGGTACAGCTACAGAAGGAAGGCTTACATACAGTGTTAGCTTGTTCTCTGCAAAAGTGAGATCAGAAGACTCAGCAGCAGGAACTTTATCACATTCTAATTCTAGCTCAGCTGCTGAGTCATTCAGTGACTTTGGTCTGACTGGCATCTCCATCTCATCAGATTTGGAATAGAAGCACCAGATTTGGAATATGTAGCAGGGAATGTTGAGTTGAAGAGTCCACCTTGAAGATTATAAAACAAAAGTAACATTAAGATACAATTTGTGGAATGGCAAAGAGAGCATGGGAGTTTTGGTCTCATTCTGACAGATTCACTTTTCTTTTATCAGAGCATGGTAGCCATAGACTTTCTGCCTGACAATAAGATTCCCACAGCTTTTACACATAAGGTTATGTCTTCAGTGATGTCCAAATGACTTTCTTAGCTGGCTATCTTGTGGAGAGGCTAGCTAACTTGATCTAAAGAATTCATGGTTCCTTTCTTTTCTCTTTAGTAGATTTGTTTGGTTTGGATATTGGCATTATGATAGTATTTGTCTAATAAACAGACATGAAATCTAGAACCCATAGTACTTTTACCATTTACTGTAGAGTCAGGGCTATGACTCTTTTCCCCCAGACTAAGTTTTGAGGCTTGGCCTACTGGGTGAGCCAGAGCTGAGCATACTGACTCAAGTTTCCTCCTTCCTACAGGGAGCAGATGTGAACTGTACCCATGGCACACTGAAGCCCCTGCATTGTGCCTGTATGGTGTCCGATGCTGACTGTGTGGAGTTACTCCTGGAAAAAGGAGCTGAGGTAATGTTTTCAACACTTTACATTAATGATTCACCAAAACTGGAGCTTCACATTTTCTTAGACTTTCTCTTTGCACTTGCAGTCTGATCTTCTTATAGTAGCATAGCCAATATTAAAGCAAAATATGACAGTGAATCTATAAAATGATCCCAAGGATTTCATTCCTTTGCTTTTTTTTCTCCTTAATTTAAGCTGTTCATGGCTCCAAGAAGGTATCTTATCTGCCTCTTCTCTCCTAACTTACCTCCTAAGGGTTGTTTATATTTCCATTGAATCCTCTCCTTGCCTATTGACTGTCCAGGAGCTGTAAGTGCAGAGGCCTCTCAATTCTGGTTAAATCTAACCATTTGAGCTCTACCATCTATCAGATGTATGCAATTCTGAGATATAATTCTGAAAGGCAGTCCCTTCCTTAGGATTGAGCCACTTGTGTGGTTTTTGCTCGCTAATTATTTTTATTTAGTATAGCTTGTTCTTGTCTTCTAATATATCTGAAGATAAAAATGAAAAATTAATTTTTGAAAATAGACCCTTGGCATTAGCATGAAGCAGCATAGTATAATGAATAATTAAAATAGACTCTGGAGCCATATTTAATGGGTTCAGATTTCAACTCGATCAATTCCAGCTAGAATGAATTCCTTTAACTTTTGTCTCAGTTTCCCCATCTGTAAAAAGGGAATAATATCTTCTTTATAAGGTTGTAAAGTGTTTGTTACACCAGAAGTAATTACTAAGTGCATGTTAAATGAATAAGACAGGCAGTTTTGACTCTTTGTGAGCAGTCTTGAAAATGTATATGCTGAGGGTGCCGATCTGAATCAGTCAAAACATGGAGCCACTGTGCAGTCTGATACTAGACCCAAGAGGCAGGCCTACCATCCTCATCTCCACACAATCATGATCCACTTCTTGTTATGCTATAATTTTTGTGACCAAGCCTGTTTCTTTGTGAGTAACCCTAAAGTGTTTAATACAGAAGGAAGGCTTACATACAGTGTTAGCTTGTTCTCTGCAAAAGTGAGATCAGAAGACTCAGCAGCAGGAACTTTATCACATTCTAATTCTAGCTCAGCTGCTGAGTCATTCAGTGACTTTGGGGGGATTAGGTTTAACCAAATAAAGTTTTTCTTTATTGCATTTTATGATGGAAGATAATATGCATTATAATTTTGAGAATTTGAAGTAAAAAATTATAGGTAATCCTGACTTTCAGCAGGCTAGCTGTTGGGGTTTTCTTTTTCTTTTAACCCAAAGGTGCTTTAACACTGATTTCCATCCCCAGCCCTTTTTATTTTTGAGACAGGGTCTCACTAAATTGCTAAGGCTGGCTTTGAGCTTATGATCCTCCTACCTCAGCCTCCCAAGTCACTGGTGTTATAGGCAACACCACCACTTGGCTTAGGTTAGCTGCTTTTTCAGCATTAGAAGATTTGTGTTCTTCCTTCCACATGCATTTTTCTGGACTCTCTTGTTAGCCCACAGCATGTTTTTGCAAAGGGCTGACTTAATTTAATATTTTGAGCTTCTCTCTGTGGTTAAAGAACATGGCAAAGCTATCAGATTGCCATTAGCCACAGGAAGAGTCAGGATAAGTAAAATCCAGGACTCTAACTGTATATTCAAGCAACTTTCCAGTGAATTTCTTCCAGAGCAGTTTGAAGGTTTTAGATTTCTTTTCCTATTTAACTCCTTACTCTACAGTAGAGATTCTAGTAAATAGAGACATGAACATTGCAGCAGGGTCCTAAATAATGCAGACCAGCTAGTTAATACAAATAGTGTTGTCTTGGGACAGTTCCCTTCCTTTTTCTTCTTTAGCTTCTGTCATCTCTCCATCGTGATCACCAAGACTCCCTAGGAATTGCTCATTGACTCCTTCCTCAGAGCATTGTATAGCAAAGGTAGTGGGCAGTGGGCAGTGGGCATGCAGGATTCTATTGCTGCACTCCTTCCTCTCCCCAGTAGGCTAGCTACTGTAATACAGTTCCTCCCTTTTTACAGGTTAATGCCCTTGATGGTTACAACCGAACAGCCCTTCACTATGCAGCAGAGAAAGATGAGGCTTGTGTGGAGGTCCTATTGGAGTATGGTGCAAACCCCAACGCATTGGATGGCAACAGAGACACTCCACTTCATTGGGCAGCCTTTAAGAACAATGCTGAGTGTGTGCGGGCTCTCCTAGAGAGTGGGGCCTCAGTCAATGCCCTGGATTACAACAATGATACGCCACTCAGCTGGGCTGCCATGAAGGGAAATCTTGAGAGCGTCAGCATCCTTCTTGATTATGGTGCAGAGGTCAGAGTCATCAACCTAAAAGGCCAGACACCCATCTCCCGCCTGGTGGCTCTATTAGTCAGGGGACTTGGAACAGAGAAAGAGGACTCCTGCTTTGAGCTCCTCCACAGAGCTGTTGGACACTTTGAATTAAGGAAAAATGGCATCATGCCACGAGAGGTGGCCAAAGACCAACAGCTATGTGAAAAACTGACTGTGCTGTGCTCAGCCCCAGGAACTCTAAAAACACTCTCTCGCTATGCTGTGCGCCGTAGCCTGGGACTCCAGTATCTGCCAGATGCAGTGAAGGGCCTCCCACTGCCGGCTTCTTTGAAGGAATACTTGCTACTTGTAGAATAACCTGGAGGAGATCTGTGCACCATCATGCAAGTGACTAACTCCGGGTGAGGTACTGCAGTACTCTTTGTCGTGGAAAACAGAAAAGCACTTGTCCCTGTTGTGTGGTTATTAGATTTTGAGATAAACATGTCACAACAGTAATCTCCATAGCCCCTCCTCCCCATACCAAGCAACCAGCCAAAAAAAAAAAATTTCCTCACTTTTGTTTGCTGTTTATTGCTTACTTGGCTTTTTAAAGGAGAGGTTCTCCTTGCCACCCTCCCTTTTAGAAAATGAAATCAACTAAATTTCTCTAGGAAGATGGAAAGTATTTAAATGGTATACATGTGGTTTTCCTTTGGGGGCATGACATCTGTGAAGAAGGTTAAGAAAATCACAATTCTAGCTAACAATAGTTGTATCCTAAGGATGAAGATATTCCATATGGTGTGAGACATTCAGAAAGCCTGGCCCCCTTTCCTTTTACTAAAGAAAACAGCAGTTTTTGCTTCTTTTCCATGGATATGCCCCAGGGTTATAGTAATTCAGCAATGTTATTTCAGAAAGCTATCTTACTGCTTTCCACATAGAAGAGAGAGCATGTTCCAAGCAGTCCTAAGAACTCCTGAGAGTCTTGTACCATTTTTCTAATGCAGCACTTCTCTTCCTGAAAGTCAGTTTGTTCTAATGGGCTTAGCAGGCATTTCCTGCACCTCAAAGACATTTCCTCTAGCAAAAGGATGGGCTGGGCTGCCTTCCCCCTGAGACTTCTTCATTCCCTATGGAAAGCTTGTGCTGCTGAAAACCTTTTTGAGTTATTTTTCTTTCCATTGTCTTAGAACCTATATTTTTTTTATTGATCTATAGAAGACATTGGTTGAAAGTAGAGTTGAGAAGGGAATGGGGAAAGAATATAGAAGAGCTGCTTTTGAGATGGGGGTACCAAAAAAAAAACACAAAAACCTGTTTTAGCGAACTATACTTAGTCAACAATACTCTTCATGTTCCTAAACTAGATCAAGTTGTTATTGATCTTTGATGATCTGTGTGTGAATCTGAAAACCTTTTTTTAAGCTATTTGGGAACTACAAACAAAATGAATGGGATATGCTGACACAGCTAATTTGGAGTATGCTTGCTTTTGTCCATTTGCTGTTGGTGATTATTGCCCATTAAAAAAAGAAATAAATAGTTATAAACGCAAGTTTGGTGATTCCCACCATTTTTCTCCTCTCCCTCCTCCTATTTATGGAAAATTCTTTACTGCCTGGCTATTAGACATAACCTTTCCATGTCAACCTCTTTCCCCTCAACAACAGTGTTTCTGGACATGGGTGGAGTGAATGGGGGGCTTGGGCAGAGTATTTAAAAAGCTTCCCCTTCCTTTATACCTCCCCCCAACCCCAAATTGAAAATCATTGCTTTTGTTCTCTACCGCAACAGCAGGGTGTGCCTCAGTGGTAGAGTGCTTTGCCTGTCTCACAAACAAAAAGACCTCAGCTGCACATTAACACATTAAATCGCTAAAGAAGCTTTTAAAAAACATTGATGCCAAGATTTCACTCCATACCAGTCATTTAGAATTTCCTGGGGTAGGTCTGGATTAGGTTTTGTCAGATGCTTCTAGTATGTTGCCAGGAATGAGAACCACTGCTTTAGACAGTGGTTCTGCAGCCTACCTATTAATTAGAACCACCTAGGAAAACATTGTAAATACTAAGGCCCATGCTCCACCCCCAGAGACTAACTTAATTGGTCCAAAATGGGCCCCGAGTCTCAATTTTTAAAGGCAACACCAGGTGATTTTACTATTCAGTTTAGGTATGAACCACTGCTTTAGATGTTATTTATTTAGTTACTGTACCAGGAATTGAACCCAGGGGCACTTAACCATTAAGCCACATCCCCAGCCCTTTTTATATTTTATTTTGAGACAGGGTCTCCCTACATTGCTTAGGCCCTCACTAAGTTGCTGAGGCTAGCCTTGAACTTACAATCCTCCTGCCTCTGTCTCCCAAGTCTCTGGGGTTATAGGCATGCACCACTGTGCGGAGCTAGATGCTATTTATTTCACATCGTAAACACTGTTGATATTCTGGAAAGGGAATATACTTTGTCCATGTGATAAAAGACGTCACCTGTTTTATTACTTTATAATCACTATGTAGTTGGTGGCTAATAACTTCTGTTTCAGCTCAAAGACAACTTCATACATCTTTTTAGCTTTGGGGAAGTGGCATGTATTTAATAGGTTTTGGTTTTTGTTTTTAAGTGGTTTTTACTACCTTTTCGGTTTTTTCAGATCATATTATGATCCTATTTTTTCTCCTCTTTACAAAGTGACATTTTTCTTCTTTAATTACCTTTCTACCTGAATACCGCTACCCTCTGTAATTTTTCTCAACAAAGCAATTCTAGGATTAAAGACGAGAAAAAGAAGCTATAAATTAATGGCAGTTAGCATTTAAAATGTTCTGATGAATGCTGGAACTTTTACTTCACTTTCATAGCGCTGATTGTTTCCTGAATTTGAGGTAGCACGGTAAGGAAGAAGAGGCATTGAGAATGGGGATGGGCTTTGAAAACAATTGAGTTTGAGTACCACTTTTGCTGGACTGTAAGACCTGGGAGACATTACTTAATCACCTTTAGGTAGTATCCTTGCCACCACTCCCTATAAAAAGCTATTTTTAGGATTCAGTGATAGCATGTAAAATACCTACCAGAGATTAATGTTTACTGTTAATTTCTCTTCCCCTTCAAGAACTGGAGAGAGTATTTGGCTGCTTTAATTTCTGACTCTGAAAACAAGACTTCTCAGTCACTATTTGGAACTGTTTTAAAGAGTATGGCAGTTTAGACAGCCAGTAAAAGTGATATATTAAAGAGAATTCCCTATAACACAGTGAGCATCTTCCCTGCTTCATCAGGCGAGTGAGTAAACCACATGGGTTGGAAGGAAGGTTCACACCTGTTCTGAGAGCTATAATCTGGTTATTGGAAGCTAATCTTAATCTGGCATTAAGACAGGGCACTCTCCTGTCAATGGCAGTACTGCCTATAGTCCAATCTTCAGGACCAACTGCATTATGTGGACACTTGAGTAATGAGGAAGAAGCAGCTATTATAGAATAGAAAATCTGGGCTGGGGATGTGGCTCAAGTGGTAGCGTGCTCGCCTGGCATGCGTGAGGCCCGGGTTCGATCCTCAGCGCCACATACAAACAAAGATGTTGTGTCCGCCAATAACTAAAACAATGAATATTAAAAAAAATTCTCTCTCTCTCTCACTCTCTCTTTAAAAAAAAGAACAGAAAAACTGCAACTGAGTAAGAACTAACATCTTTCTAAATAAGTATTCCAACCAACTCCCAAACAGGTCCAGGACTGGTGTCTCTGTTTTCCAGGATTTCAAAATGTACATGTCTTTTCCATGAAGATTCTGTCAAATGGAGCCTGGCTTTCATCCAGGAAGGAGTATAAAAGAAAAGTTGAGAAGGAAGAATGCTTGGTAAGAGGAGCAGAGATTGTGGGATGGCTGGAAAAATGCAGTCCTGGATCATGGGTATATGGTGAGAGGTGAAAAACAATTTTGTACATATGAGAGATGAAGGTGTCCTCTTGGCTACAGGAGATGCAGGAAAGACTAGTGCGGAATGAGAGTCAGTGTCCTGTGTTCTGGGACTTTGTGTACAGAACCAAGAAATGCTGCAGGAAAATAATCCAAAAGGAAGAAAAAAGTGTACATGATAATTCATATGGGTAGGTCTGGTGGATGAGGCTGATGACATTCCACTTGTGAAGATGATAACAGGAGAACCAAAAGCACAGTGACCAGTTGGCATTTATTAGTGTAGTTATAGTTGCCACTGTAGTAAAAGTAGTAAAGGAACTAAGGCTCTTTGTTATCACAAAGAAATAAATAGAGCTTATTTTTAGGAAAATTCTGAGTGGCTGAAAGCTAGCAGTAGCACTAGAGGAACCTGGCCTGTGTGACAGATGAAGCTGGGGTAGAAGTAATGATCAAGTCTACCTAGATTCTACTCACTGCCCCCTTCCCAACTCCTGGCCAGAGCTGATCATGGTTACAGGTACAGAATAAAAGGAAACCTAATGAAAAAAGAGCTGAAACAAGGAGAAAACATGGACTTAGATCTAGTAAGAGGAGAGCTGACCATGATCAGAAAAATCTGTTCCCCTTACTCCAAAGAAATCTAGACTGTAGCTTCTCCAGACCGCTTCCGAGAGATGTGCTCCAAGTGGGCGTGGTCTGAGGTGTCCAAGTCAATCTCGTACTTGGCTAGGATTTTGAGGATGGGCCTCAGCTTCAGCCACCACTGTTCCTTGGGTATTCGGTGCCTACAGAAGAATGAGGTAAATGATGATACAGTTCTTTAGCACCCCAATCAACTTCTACTAAGGGCTTATATAGGCATATGCTTAAAGTGAGCAGAGACTGCATTTAGGACATGGACATCAGATCTAAAGTGGGTAAGGCTACAAGTATTATTTTTAAAAGAAAAGCAATGCAGACAGTGAACAGATTGGGGAGAGTAGAACTTGAAATTCCCAGGGAGAGAACCACTCTAGAAAGTAGATGTACTCACTCAAAATCTGTCTGGTCCTTCAGTTCAGTCACTGGTTGAAAGACCAGGGCCCTCTTGCGCATCCCTAGAACACAGCCAGAGTCTGGAGTGTTGGCAAAGATCCGCCCTGTAATAAGGGATGGTCAGTCAGCTTTTATACTGGGGAACCAACCTCTACAGAGGGGGCTTAACCTCTATCCCACCTACCATTACGGTAACTCTCTTTGATTTTCCCAGACATCCAGTTCATAGCCTTAGCTCCCATCTTAGTGGCAAAATTCCTGTCAAAGGGAGTTGGACTCCCACCCTGGAAAAAGAATTAAAAATTAGAGGGAAGGACTCTAATGGAGTGGCAGACATAACTAGATACACAGATAAAAAGGAAAGAATGGGCCCTGAGTTTATAGGAATTCATAAGTCTGTGAAAGGATACCTTGAAATAGTGTGGAGTTTCAAAGTGAATCACCTATTTATCAACAGTAATTAAAGAAGAGGATTAATCCCACAACTTTCTTTTTTAGTCCTATTTCCCCACCCATCTTTAGCAGCTTTTGTCAGTCACCATCACCAGTGGTCAGAAGTGTTCTTCGAGGCCCAATCTAGCTGCCCTTGGTAGAACTTCAGAATAATATAAAACACCATATAGATTTTCTTTGAACTAAGAGAAAGTATGTGGAAAAGTGAAAAGGGGAAGGAAGAACAGAAAATGGTTTCATATTTATCTAATAACACCCCATCCTTCAGGGGCTGGTAAGTTCATTCAAAGTGAGACACATAATTCATTTTTGGGTAGAAAAAGGTTCAAGGCTTAACAGGCATCAGCTGAGGGCATTTGGGATAGAAGAGAGTCTCAGAACACTGCACCACCTGTGAGTGTCACTAGTAGAAAGGAAGTTGTTTCCCTGAAGCCCCACTTAGTAGAAATGGAGCCCAATACCATCAAATGCCAATACTCATTCAACAGGTTGCTCATGAGAGGCAGGATGGTAATGTGGGAAAAACACTAACTAGGTTCATTCTAGCTCTATGAGTGGCCCTGAAAAAATTACTTCTCTTTGGATCTCATTTTCTTCATCTCAATTATTCACTCTCAACTAGAGATGATTTTGCCCCTTAGGGGACATTCAGCAGCATTTGGAGGCATTTTTGTTAAAATTGAGGGTAAGGGGAAAGTGCTACTGGCATCTCCTGGGTAGAGTCCAGGAATGCTGCCCAACCATCCTACAATGTATAAACAGCCACCCATGACAAAGAATTATTCCAAATGGCAATGATGCAAAGGTTAAGGAATGCTATCCTAAATGAAGATGATGGACCACATCATCTCTAAGGTCATTTCTTGATAAAGATGTTTTGATTCTGTGGCTGTAAGAGATTGGCAGGCCCATGCTCTGTGGTGGCACTGGGCCTCCAACAGATTAGAGGTCAGTAGAAACCTCTGTAGGTGTTGGGGGTGATGGCTTTCTGGCAAAGGGCATGGCTGGGGTATCTTCCCTACCTGCTGCATGTGGCCAAGCACATTCTTCCTGCTATCGAAGATGCCCTTCCCCTCCTCAGAGTACAGGTTGAAGATGAAGTCAGTGGTATAGTTCTCATTGCACTTCTCATTCCTGCCAGGT